TTTCTTTCTTTCTTTCTTTCTTTCTTTCTTTCTTTCTTTCTTTCTTTCTAACAAAAACCCAATAAACAAAAATAGCTGAATAAAACAGCACAAACAAACAAACAAAAAAGAAAACAAACAAACAAAAACTGTAACAATTGTCTAAATTATTCTATTATTAATTAAAAAAAAAACCCTCGTGAATCAGATATGGGGTTAAAACCTGCTTGCTCAGAGAAGCGGTGGAGAAGCGACCAGTGAGTGACCGCCTCTCTGTCTCCTTTCTTGATCTAAAAGGCCAAATGCCTTTCGAAGCCTCTCCCCACTACTTCCCTTGTCTCTCTTTAGTTCCTCTGGCCTCCAAAACCTTTCTGCCTGTCTGAACCTGCTGTCCGTCTACCACCCCATTCATCTGTTTCTTTTAACTCGGTCCTACCTTTCCACCTCTGTAGGTGGACCCCACTCTACAGCTCTGCGCAAACCTGCGACCCTCTCAGCCCAACTCCAGAAGGGCAGACCTCCTTCTGAGACTTCCACAGACCCCTTTGCCTTTCTGTCAGTGTCTTAGCTGTGGCCTGGGAGCATCTTTGGAACTCCTTGGCTACTTAGCCCTTAGAGCTACTCTACAATGTCCATCCACAGGTGTATATCAGTGTACTTACTGTGATAGGGAGAGTGTAGTCTACGAGTTAATATTCGGAATTAAGCTTGGGGATGGGGGATGAGCCATGTTTGCCTTGGCTGGGGCCATCGAGGAAAGTGGGACTATATGGTTAACTGCTGCTGCCATGTTGAGGCTTCTGTACCGTGTGTGTGTGTGTGTGTGTGTGTGTGTGTGTGTGTGTGTGTTGATAAATTTAGACATTGTGGAAAAGCAAGCATATTCATCTTTTTCTGATATAGCATACCCGTGGCAGCTCCGGAAGCTTGCTGGTCCTGATCCTCACATAGCATTTGTCTCACATGTGTCTAGAGCCCTGGTAGTGACCCTCAGCTTGGTTGACCATCTTGGAAGTCAGGTTGTCAGAGTCCCTGGAGGGGACTGGCCCCAGGCTGTTTCTTTTATCAGTCAGATCTTTCTAAAGTACTGGGGCCCCTGAGTATCCACAGGGGTCTGACTTTAGAATTCCTCCAGATACTAGAGCCTAAGGATGTTGAGGTCCCTCATATAAAGTAGGTACAGTGTGGATAATCTAAGCTGCCCTCATCCTGTTTGCAGTCGTCTCTAGATGGCTTCATGTGCCGGTACAAGGGAAATGGATACGGAGAGCTGTCATGCTGCGCTGTTTAGAGAGTGAGGACAGGGCTGTGTCTACAACAGTTACACTGGTTTCTCTTGAAGAGCTCTAAGGCATGCGTCAGAGCCTCCATGGGTCCCGGAGTTGGCTGCACGTAGGTTCTCTCTGTCCCTCCTGTTAGTTAGGTCAAAGGTGGCCACCACAGTATCAACCCAGAGGCAGACTGGTTTGGCACAGCCAACAAGATGGGTCCCATCCCCTTGGATTTTCACCCGGGAGACGTGGTCATGTGGTCAGTAGGCATTGGAGGCTGTGACAAAGGGAGCAAGGAGCCAACAGTTGGAGTCTGAAGCAGAGTGCTGAGCTGAGGAATGCTTGAAACAGGAAGCGTTGGGACAGACGCTAGAGGAACAGAAAGCAGAGGGCGGACATGCTGAGGTGAAGGTGGCATGCTGGGGAGACTCCAGGAGCTCCTACTACTGGGCCCATGGGAGCCATCTTGAGTTCTTGAAGACCTCCCTGCTCCAGGTTTCCCACTCCCATGGCTACACTCTGGAGTGCCTAGACACAAATGCACACACACATACACACACACACACACACACACACACACACGCTTGCACATTTACACACACACATACATAAGAACATATTTTATAAATACATACAGGTTGAGTGAGTACCCTTCTCTAAATACCGGGAAACATAAATATTTTGGGTTTGGATTTCTTTTGGATTGTGGAATATTTGTATTACCTACAGGGATGGCTTAAGAAGGGGGCACTAGCTAAACACACAATTAATTTATGATTTGTGTGCAACAAACACATACAGCCGAAGGGTCACAGTGCAGTATTCTTAGGGCTCTGTGTGTTTCGTAATGCCAGGTATGAACCTTCCACCTGTGGCTGTGCCACTGCTCAAAAAGGCTCAGATAAGGAATCTTCTAGGTTTCGGCTTTTCAGATTCAGAAATCAGTTGGTTGAATGATAGAAAATATAACACAATATATAATATAATGTAACATAAAATATCTGGATCTACAGCAACAGACAAATATAACATATCCACATATGTGTTGTGATACGGTTGAATTTCTACTCATATGGAGACTTGAGTGTAAAGTGTGAGTAGTTGAGGTCATGCTTGAGAGTCTTTTAAAGTTCCTGCCATGCTTTGAAATAGCTGCAACCCTGCATGGTAACGTGCAGCTAGACATGCGAGTGGGACCCATCCCTTCCCAGAGAATGCTTGCTAAAGAAGAGCAACTGAGAAAACACAGACTCTGGCTCCAGGTCCCTGCCAGATACCCAAAGTGAAAACACTGCAATTGTAATGTGCAAGACTTTCCATCCCCAATGGCAGTTGATTAATTCCCCTGGGCAAACCGACTGCGGTGCCGTTCCCTGGATGACAGCTGTCTGCGGGGACTGTTCATTGGAGTCCCTACGATTTCCCAAAGAGCTGAGTAGTTTAAACAGTTGACACACATGTAGCAGCTGCATTAAAATAGGAAAACAAAAATCACAGAAAGGGCACTGAGAACAGCCCAGGACAGCAAGGCAGACGTAATTCCAATTAGAAGCAATCCAATGCTACGGTTTCCTGGAGGTAACGGAAAGGGGGAATCCTGGGTAAAAACAAAGGCTGTTCGAGCGTCTGAACTGAAAGAGAGGGGTTTTCTCCCTACACCTTTTAAAGTCTCCGCTGCTCATGGTTTCGTCATCGCTGTGCTGTCGGTTTTGTTTCTCACACGAGATTCTCATCGTTTTCTTCCTGCGCCCATGGTCAACAGCAGCACCAACAGGCTACGTGTGCCACGCCCACCTACTTGGCACCTCAGTTGTTCTCAGGTGGTACCCCATGATTCTCAGCCTTCTTCATATGGAAGAAAAGGTCTCAGCTCATTCAGGCAACTGCAGCAAATTCCCTTAGTCTGGAAGTTCATATGCAGTATGGATTGCTAACAGTACCAGCGGTGCAATGTCTCTTGAGGCTCATTGTTGGCATGTACACATACATACAGACCTGAGCACACATGTGAACACACACATGAACATTCATGCACACACAAACACACATATGGATATGTTTTCACACACGAACACACATGTGAGTATGTGCACACATGAACACATGTGACTACTCAGGCGCGCGCACACACAAACGTGCATGTGAATATACACACATGCACATACATGCTTTTTTTAAAAAAAGAGAGAGAGATTAAGGAAATTTTCCCAGTGTCTCCAGTGAGTGGAAGAGAAGAGATGAGCGCGACACTACTGGGTGCTGCACTGATCTGGGGGCCACAGGCATGGTCTCCCCACCCATAGTCCCCTTCCCCCCACACCCCCCCACTGTTCCCCAGTTTTCACGAACACGAGCCGTGAGCAGTGCTTATCCATCCCGTCACTTTATTCCTCAAGCCAGCCTGGAGCAGCAAGTGTCAGAGCCCGACCTCATTACCTCCTCTTCTGCTCCCCAGGCCCCAGCACCTGCCCTTCATAAATGACCCTTGTGGGTGGAGCAGAGATCTTCTGGGCGTGGCTCTCCCAGAAGTGCGTCAAGCCAGAATTCCAGGTCACGGACCAGCTGTTCGAAGTCTCTCACTTCTTTCTCTAGCTTCTCCAAAAAACCATGCAAGTTTGTCCTCAGCCACTTCCTGAGGGTCCTTATTGGCTTTTCAGCGGGCTCATAGGTCTGATACTCAAAGCCCTGAAAGGCAGATGCTGTGTCTTCAGACTTTTCAGGAGGGTTTCTTGTTTGAGACGATTCCCCGTGTCTTTGCAAATGCTGTTCATTCTGCCTGGGTTACCCCACCCTACCTTCTCCACCTGACTAGCTCCTATTCATCCTCCCCAAACTAGCTAACTGACACCTCCTCTGAGAAGCCTTCCTGGACCCCTTAGCACATCTCTGGATGTTACCTGGGATGCCACAGGATTCTGAAGGTGATTGCAGTCCCTGATCCGTCCCGATACTTCCCAGCCGCTTCCTGAAACAGGCATAGACAATACCTCTTAACAAACAGTCCAGATAAGTGTGATTAGTCTCTGCAGTGGGAGGAAGAGTAGGAACGGGGTAGGGTGTGGGGCCCTGCACAGGCACGCCTCCTGAGGATCACCACCCCGCTCTGTGGATTTGGTTTCTCCTTTCTTGGGTTCCAGATTGCTCACCTGATATCCCTGTGCCCAGGTACAGCACCAAAACCAACAGTGCTAACAGCGTCTGGGACGAGAAGAGGAGAAAAGAGACAGGAAAGTGAATTCCTGGGTACAGAAGGCTCCATACCCCTGACAGGGGTTCAGCCATGGGGGAGCTGTCAGTCAGTTGTAGACATTTCCCATGATCTAAGTCATACTGCTTCCAACCATTGCAGAAACAGCAGACAGAGCCACGCATGCCCTGACATTTATGTCACCCCTTCCCCTTCTCCCACTCTTTGGTTCTTCTGAGTCCCTTAAAATCTTTTTATTCCAGTCGAACTGTGGAAGGCCCCAGCTTTATGGAGATAGAATTCACATACAACAAAACACACACATTAAATGCGCGGTCCGATCAGTTTTGACAAGTGTCTCCATGTGGCCTCAGTGAAGATCTAATCCTTCCCATGATCTTGAAAGGTCCCCCAGGCCCCTCTCAGTCAGTCCACTGGGGCACCGACGGCCACATCGTGTCCATTTGTGAGTTCTGTGGAACTAAGTCAAGAACGTCTTTGTGTGGTACTGCTGATGTGGCTCCATGCTTTTGTGCGTTCAGTTTTATTGATGAGTATGCTGCATGGGCCTAACACACTTACCTTACCTCCTGGCGAGTTGTCTACAGTTTGAGGTGGTCAAGCACAAAAGTGCCTTGAACACGCACGTACCCCGTCTTTGTGTGGACATGTTTCTCATCCCTGCTGGGTGACTGTTCAGATATGGAAATGCCAGGATGTGGGGTGAATGCATGCTTAATTCTAGTACAATATGCAGGACTGTTTCTCAAGATGTTTTTCCATTATGTCCCATTGGCCACTCAGAGAATTCCTGTTGCTCTATGTCTTTGTCTTTGTCTTAGTATTGTCAATCTTAATTTTAGCCACTCTAATGCTGTTACATAGAGACAATCCAATCTCTTCTGTGTTTTCCCAATGATCAATGAGGTTTAGCATCTTTTGATTTTTAAAGACCTCTTTATTTTATGTGTGTACTTTTTCTGCCTGCATGTTTGTGGGAGCAAACATGTGCATGTCTGATACTGGCAGAAGGCAGGAGCAGACTTCAGAACCCCTGGAACTGGAGTTACTATGGACGGTTATTAGCTACCATGCGGGTACTGGGAACTAAACCTGGATCTTCTGCAAGAGCAGCAAGTACTCTTAGCTGCAGAGCCATCCCTGCAACCCAGGGGCTTAGCCTCTCATCACGGCCTATTGGTGATTACTAATCTACATATCTTGGTTATGGCTACTGAAGGCAGCTGCTCTTTTTATCGGACTGTCTGTCTTTTGATTAAGTTGCCGAGTTCTTTAAATATTTTGGATCTAAGTAGTTGGAAACATACTCACTATGAATATTTTATCAACTCTGTGGCTTGCTTATCTTTTCAGTTTCTCGTCAGTATCTTTTGAAAAATTAGCAAGTTTCTTTTTATAAAGCCCAACTTATCCTTTTGGGTGTACATTTTGTGTGAAGTCTAAAAACATTTGTCTCTTCTAAGGTTTGATTTTCTCTTTTTTTTTTCCTTTAAACATTTTATTGTTTTAACTTTTAAATTTATGTGTATGATCTATTTTAGAGTAAACTTGGCACATAATGTAAACATATAGCTTGAAAGCTTTAAAAACATAGATATCTAGTTGTCCTGCAATTATTTTTAGGGCTATTTTTCCTCATCAGATTAGATTGATGCCTTTGGTATGTCACGTGGTTCTGGGTTCTGTTGCTTCGTTGTTCTGCTCATCCATCTTTGATCAATGCTAAATCTGTATGAGTCTGTGTCTGCTAGCACCACCGTGCCACGCTAACACTGCCATGCCATGATAACACTGCCATGCTACGCCAGCACCACCATGCCACACAAGCACCGCCATGCCATGCCATCACCACTGTGCCATGCTGGCACCGCCATGCCACCATGTCACAGACAAGAGACTTTGAACAGTAGACACGATTTTCTACCAGTTTATGCTGTTGAATGCAGCCTCTCTCTGGGGCTTTCAGGTGGCACCTCTCACCGTGCCCTCAGATGGTTTGTCCTCTGACCCACATATCCTTGCTGCCTCTTCCGACAAGGGTGCAGCCTGGCCCATGAGACCAGAGACTTAACAGCAATTGCTTCTTTAGAAACTTTGTCTACAGGTCGAGTCACTTGGGGCCTCAGTGTATACACTTTGAGAGACGAAGTTCTGTTTCCAAACGAGACACGGACACTCTCTTGTCCAGTGTGAATGAGAATGAAAGAGTGTGTGGCAGCCACGGGAAGTTCCTGGCTGCAGGGGAGTTGGGTCTAGAGTAGGGAGGGGCGGGGAAACGGCATGAGCCCCGGCTTACCTGCTTCCTGTCATCACAGTGGCTGCTCCTTCTCTGCTCACGCAGTTCAGCTGCCCCCTGCCCCCTGCCTCCTGTCCTCTGGATTGCCATGTCTCCACTCGGGGTCAGAGTGCCTGGGTGTATGGAAGCCCTTTCAGTGGACCGGCAGGTAGGTGCCTCCCCTCCCCCACTCCTTGTCACCAGCCAAGCATGAGTTCTGATGTCACAGAAGGCAGAAGACAGCTAAGTCCACCGCTCGGATTCTTACTACTGCCGCTCATCTTATCACACACAGGCGTACACACGTATGCGCTCAGGCCCACACTCCTGTTCACACGCGTGCAGAATGCAATGATCCAGAAGAGATGCTACAAATGACTAGGTTTTCAGATAAAGGAGTTTTCCTCTATCTTTCGGTAGAGATTTGCAAATTATTACAATGTTAACCTTTAAATAGAAAAAAAGACCATTAAAAACCATTTTGAAATAAATTAAAATTTTCTGGTGATCATGATAGGCTCCTATCCAGGTGGAAGTAGGAGTGTGGAGAGATGGGGCTACCCCTTTCCAAGTTTCTGCCTATGGTGTCATCTGGCACTGCGGTGGGAGGCTTCACGGCTGGGCTGTGTGCTAAACTCCCAGCCTTGTTCAGGCTTCTTCAGTTTTATCTGTGCGTGCGTGTGTGCGTGCGTGTGTGTGTGTGTGTGTGTGTGTGTGTGTGTGTGTATCTGTGTTTAATTTTGAATGCTGGTGTCACATCTGTAGATTTGGTATCTACTAAGATACAGAATTCTAAAAGCACTTGTTGAGAAATATCTATTCCTGTCTTTAGACTGATTTTTAATTGGATTGGTTTTTCTACAGTTGAGTATTAAAATTATTTTTGTATATTCTGGCAATAAATCATTTTCTTGATAGATGGCCTACTAGGATTTCTTTCAAGTCTATAGACCATTAAAAAAAAGTCTCTTACTATGAACTTTTACAGACAAGAAGTTTGGACACTTGATGAAGTCCAAATTCACCAGTTCTTTTTTTTCTTTTCAGATTTGTGCTTTTCTTTCTTTTTAAAAATGTGTTGGCTAGAGAGATGGTTTAGCAGTTAAGAATAAGGGCTGCTCTTCCAGAGGACCTGAGTTCTTTTCCTAGCACCCACACGGTGGCTCATAACCATCTGTAATCCAGTTCCAAGTGATCCAGTGCCCTTTTCTGGCCTTTGAAGGCACTGTATGCATATGGTATACAGACACACATGTAGGCAAAACATTCACATAAGCTATAGACTAAAAATGAAATGGGTTTATATAGTGTACATGTGTGCATTATGGATGTCCAATGACTCTGGCAGCATTTGATAAAAATGTGCTTTCTTCTTTGAATGGCTGCACACCTTTGTTGAAGTCAGTTGATCATACTGGTAGCTCTAAATCCTGCTGCACTAGTCTGTGTGCCAATCTCCACAGCAAACCACACTGTCTTTTTAAATTTTGTTTTATTTAAATAACATTTTTTTCTTTATTTTACATACTAACAAGTTCTGCTCCCTCCTCTCCTCCCATCCCTTCCTTTTTTCCCACCTATCCTTCTTCCCACCCACTCCTCCCCCATCTCCATTCAGAAAGGGACAGGTCTCCCATGGGCTTGCACATCAAGTTGAGGCAGAACCTCAATTAAAGCTCCTCCCCTTATGTCTAGATGGGGCCAGGTAGTCCAGTGTGGAGACAGGTTACCCCAAACCGGCTAAGCTCTAGGGGCTTCTGCTCTCCCTGTTAGAAGCATTGCTAGGAGACCAAGCTACACAACTGTCACACACATGCAGAGGGCCTAGGTCTGTCCCACCCAGGCTCCCGAACTGCTGATCCGACATCCATGAGTTCCCATGAGCTCAGGTCCGCTGTCTCTGAAACCAAACAGTCTTGTTTAACGTAGCTGTACCAGACCTTACTATCAACCACAGCGCTGTCTCTCACTTTGTCCTTTCATGTCATGATGGTTTGCTTCTTCTAGGGGCTGGACCTTATCACATAAAGTTTAGAATAAGTGTGTCTGTCTACAGAAAGCTTTGATGGCTGGGATCTACTCAATCCTACTGACCTGGGAGCTCTGACTTTGCTGTGCTGTCCGTCCATGGACATGGTATGCTTTTTCATTGGTTTAGATTTTTCTCTGTTTGTAATTGGTGTCTTATAGCATCAAGCATATAGGTCTTACATGTATTTTGTTGAGTATGGATTTTATTTTCTTTGGGCTTCCTTTGTATTCCAAATATGTGAAGACATCATTAATTTCTCATGTTGTCATGAGTTTCCAAACTATACAGAACTTCTAACTAACATACAATGTTTGTTGGCATCTGCTGTCTACTAGGCCCACACTTGATTGTTGCAGCCTCTGTAGGCTACAGCTCTGTAGGTATTCGGGTACTGAATCACTTTACCAGTCATTGTATTCCAAACGTTCACCATGCAGCCTGGTATGTGGTAAACACTGGGTAAAACTTTTTGCTGAAAGGATGAATAATGGCCAGAACTGTGGGTTTTGAGAGGCCATGGGGAGTGTGTGGTGAGTACATTCTTTTCTTCACAGGCAGAAATTTGACTCGCTAATGAGTTGAATAAGTAAAACAGGTTACGTATGCTTTTCATTTTCTCAGTGATGAAGAGGAGGCTTATGGGGCCAAAGAAGGACACTAGCAACTGTGGTTATTATGTACTGAGTCCTACTGTGTGCCAGACTCACCCCAAATGCTTTCTGTGCCTTACCTCCTTTCATCCTCACCATGACCTTCCAAGGACAGAAGGGCTGGTCTGATGGGGACATTACCCTAGAAACTCAGCACGATACACCTTTCCTGAGTGCAGGCCTAGTTAACTCCAAAACCTTTCAGTTTATCACAAGGGGTTTGTGTAATTTTACCCCACAGCAAAGAGCCTTGCCCTCCATGTCATCTTTTGTTGATTGTGCAGATGTGGATTTCCACTTTAGTTTTGAGCTGTCAATCATAGCTACAAGTCCTCTTTCCTCTCTGGTCCCATGCCCATTCACCTTGGCATCTTGTGTATTTTGTATGAGTTCTACCAACTTGTTCCTCATCTTCTCTTGTACATTGCAAGCTTAGCATGCAGCTAAGATGTTTCAAGTGTTGCACCCTGTTCAAATTGCTTTACATATACTGTCTTACCCTTTATTTGTTCTATGTGGTGAGCAGCACTGTCCTCATTTTGCAGGTGGTGAGACTGAAGCTTAGAGCAACGAGGCCATTTCATCAAGTTTCACAGCTGACCAGAAACAGGGCTGTGATCTAAAATCTGATCACAGGTCAAATCTGTAAAATTGGGTCTGATTACAACACACTGCCTGCTGGTGGCTATCAGATACAGCTGTGTACATATTTTTGGTTGTGATCCTACCGTTTAACAGCTGAACCATCTCTCCTGTCCTGCACATAGGAAAACTCAAGCCAGTCGGGGGGAAAAAATGAAATCTCCCAAGCCAGTTAAAAGAAAGATAACTAATTCAAGGCTATTGCTTCCCACCTGGGGCAGGCTTTAAAAGGTCATTTACATCATATCGGTTACTGTCTTAATTGCTATTCTATTGCTGTGAAGAGGAACCAAGACTAAGGCCACTTATAAAAGAAAGCATTTAATTTAGGGGCTCATGGTTCCCAAGGGTTTGAGTCCATGATCATCATGGTGGGGAGCATGGCAACAGGCAAGCAGGCATGGTGCTGGGGCAGTAGCTGAGAACTTACACCTGATCCACAAGTAAGAGAGAAAGACAGAGACAGAGAGACAGAGATAGAGACAGAGAGACACACAGAGAGAACTGGGAAAACATTTTTTTTTCTGGTTTTTCGAGACAGGGTTTTTCTGTGTATCTCTGACTGTCCTAGAACTCACTCTGTAGACCAGGCTGGACTTGAACTCACAGAGATCCGCCTATCTCTACCTTCCAAGTGCTGGGGTTAAAGGCATGCACCACCACTGCCGGTGGGGAATGAAATTTCCAAGTCTGAGCCCAGTGATACACTTCTTCCAACAAGACCATACCTCCGAATCCTTCCCAAACAGTTTCATCAGCTGAGGAGCAAGCAATCAAACATACAAGCCTACAGGGGCCATTCCCATTCAAGCCACCGGAATGACCTTATATATGTCTCCATATATAGTTGCTGGCCTCTTGGGCATTATCTCTCAAATACTTCAAATGTCAAGTGCAGATGTAGAAGAATTGCCCTTTGAGCTCATTGTAGCCCATTGAAACTAGGGAGTTATGGTCATAGAGAGAGGAACCCACCAGAAACCTGTTCTAGGAACCTGGTGAAATATTTCAGGAACCTCACTGAAGAGCTCAGGGGATTAGTTTTGAGGGTCATTTTGTGGTTGTTTGGCATTAGGACAGGGAGAGCTCACTCGGTCCTTGAAGCATGCCAGCAGTTGGCTCAGATAGGCCAAGAAGGAGGAGCAAGAGAAGGGGGAACTAGAGACCCAGTGACTTCCTAGTGACTTCAGGGATGAATAGGGAGGAAAGGAACGAAGGGGACACCTGTGAACGCATCTGGCAGACCAAGTAAATAACTAGTCCTGAAAGTGACACACCCACCAGGGAGAAACCTGCCTCATGCCAAGCAAGAGGAAACCAAGCAGGACTCCCAGCTTGAGCCCTGTCTTCTAAATACACCTGGGTTCATTCCTGGTGCCACTGTAACAGGACACTTGGAAAAGTGACCTTATGTCTCTGAGTCAGTATGGCTGGCCGATCATTGGACATCTTGAGAGGTCTGTGGGTGGCCTAGTGGGATGGACTCTTTCAGCCTCTTCCTTCGCCTCCTCCCATATACCCCATCTCTCACCAAATACTGTGATTTCTCCTGGATAATCCCACTCTCCAAATAAGGCTCTGGAAGCCTGGACATGGCAAGCCTATGAAGAAAGTTAATAGGAAGTGTGACCTTCAGGCATGGGTAAGGGTAATGGGATAAGGGAAAGAGAGAAGGGAGGTGGCTTCATAGCGGAAGGGACTTTCTGACCAACTTAAGGGAGAAAGAAGATTTGGGAGAGTAGGTACTCTGGGCAAAAACCTCAGAAGCTGAGCCTTAAGATAAAACCTAGTCCTAGACTGGGTCCGGTATCTTACAGGGGTCTATGGAAGGAGGCTAGAGTTGATGACGAAGGTTGTG